CCAATTAATAAAAGTAGAAATCGATCAACGTAAATTATATCGAGTGTTTACAATATCGAGTGTATACAGTAGTATGCAAAGAATATAAAAATTCAAATTGGCACAGTAAAAATAAATAAATAAATAAATGAACTTACCAAATGACTGGGTATAAATTAGGGATTTAAGTACATCAATTAAAAAATTTGAGTTAAAAGAAAATGTCAGGAAATAAAAATAACAATTACTTAACGGCTGAGTATTTAACAACTAGGCGTGCTTATAATGAAACTAAAAAAGCTTATATTGAGAGGATTAGTCAAAATAAAATAATAAACTTCATCCCTTGGAATGAGATCGATGAAAAAATAGAATTTGTTGATTCTGGAGGTTCTGGGATTATTACAAAGGCGACATGGATAAAAAAGAATATTACTGTTGTTTTAAAGACAGTGGCGGTTGCTGAAGAAACAGATTCAGATAATGATGAATTTATTAAAGAGGTAAGGACGATGTGTCAACTATTTTATTTTTATACTAATACTTTTTTTTCCCGTTTAATGTAATTGAGCAGATTAAGGCTTTTCATAACATTGGACTAATGCTTTCAAATAAAATAAATGAAGAAAATAAAGAAAAAACATCTCTCGTAGGATATGAAAATGTAATCAAATTTTTCGGTGTCTCGAGGTATCAACATCATGTAACTTTTAATCTACAAAAATATGTTGCAAAATGAACGTGTATTTTGTTAAAATTTGAACTTTTTTCAAAAAAAACCCCGATCTTTAGCGAAGAATCCGGTAAATTATATATATATGAACTTCAATTCATGACTATATATTATTCATTTCGCTATTATTTCTATAAATAGATCTTTATCTGATACTCGAGTACGCAGACCGTGGTAATTTGCGTCATTACTTGAATAAAAATACTATAAATTGGGAACAAAAGGTCGATATTGCAAGACAGATTACCTGCGGCCTATATTTTTTACATACAAATAAAATTTTACATCGTGACCTAGTAAGATACCATTGTTTAACAGTCAATTAACATTATTTAATGTATAATTACTAAATTTTCTTTTATATTAGCATACTACTGTATACACTCGATATTGTAAACACTCGATATAATTTACGTTGATCGATTTCTACTTTTATTAATTGG